TAGTAGTAGTAGTAATATTATTAGTAGGAATAGTCTTAGCAGTAATAGTAGTAGTAATAGTAGTAGTAGTACTAATCATAGTAGTAGTAGCGGTCATAGTAGTGGTACTAGTCATAATTAAAGTAGTAGTCGTAGTAGCATCACGAGTAGTATTTGCAGTACCTGTAGTAGTAGCACATTATAAGTACTATTTGCAGTATTATCATCATCTGGAGAGGTACATCACTTTAATTTCTATCTGAAATTACTGATGACTTGTTTATGGTGAATTCATTATATTAACTTCCACGACAGAATTATTATTTGTATTTCTCCTACACAGAAAGCACGTTTTCTTTGATGAGCTTCTTCCGTGAAGTGGGGAGGACTTAAATAAATTTCCTTATAGCATTTGGTTAGGGAACTGTTAAAATGAAACCAATGGAGGAATAGAAGCTTGAATTATGATCACGAATTCTAAATCTGATATTTGAAAAAAAAAAAACGAAAAGTATAAATAGTTCAGAGTCAAGCCATAAAACGTTCCCTAGTGAAATGCAAATATAACTAAACGAGACCGAAATAAAGTGTCCTTGTATTTGATGATTTACATATTCACCTGCAATTATAAAAGAGTCAACAGTGGGTATAGAGTATTTCCAAAGAAAAATAAAACATGAAAAAAAAAAAAAAATGAAAATAATAAATAAAAAAGCACGAAAGGCTTTGAACGTTTGTGAAAGTTACCATTTTTCTTAGCGATTTATGGATGTTCTAACACACTGACCTACCACACGCAAAGCATTCATCACTGAAATGCAAATTAGTTTTTAGTGTATTATTTTGTTTATTTTTTTCAAATCTGATTTTTTTGCTGTCCTCTTTCTTTATTTCTTCGCTAGTTTTATTGTTTTATTTGTTTTTATCATGAATTTATATACCATAATCATTACATTGTTGAAAATGTAAATGTATAATTTTTATATCTAAAGGACAATTTTATATACCTTGTAGTCACTGCTATACTTTTTACAAAGAGCAACTTATCATCCATCATCAAAATGTTTGTACAACAAAATGAATCAATAATTCACAATACTTTAACGTACTAAACTACTACATACACCGCATTACACTCTAACCTTGGAAACGATCATAAATTAAAGTATACACTGACTTTTTAGATTGACACGATTCCTAATAGAAAAAAATTATTTGTGTGAACATGTCCTCATGTCGGTAAATGTTTTGCAGTACGAACCATAATCGTATATAATGTTGAATATATGTAGTTCTTGTTTCTCATTTAACCTGATTTTTGAGCTTTGAAATCACGCTGACTAGTACCTCATTTAATATACAATATCTTTAATATAGTCTCAAATATAGCCAACTATGAGAATAATGAAAACTGGCTAAATTTTGACAATTCTGATCAACCATTGTGCCCTTCGAACTTCCTCCATCATACAGATATAAAGGATCCACATCATGTATATTTGTATCACGCCCCTTATATTTCCCATAGTCTGCATTCAAACGAAAATGCCTTATTTTTATTTTATAACAATATACATGTATTTTTTATCCTTATCATCAGCATTGTTACTATCATTATCAAAACTTCATTACGGGATTGAAGGATAGAGAAGTTCGACCCCCCCCCGTTTCCTGTCCTCTGTCGACCCCCCCCCTCCCAAAGATGAGCGACCCCTTGCAAGGTCCCATCAACCCCCGGGGTTTAATCCACTACTACGAGGACCTCTGGCTTGGGATTGGGAACGGTGTGTGTGTTTGTGTGTGTGGTGTGTGTGTTATGTGTTGTGTGTGTGTGTTTGTGTGTGTGTGTGTGTGTGTGTGTGCTATACTGTATATTCAAATGTACGATGCATTCATAAATATGGTAATATCATGATTGCCATGATCATAAGAACACTGACAGTGTCTGTGTGTAACAATTCATAGGAAATTCATTATAAAGGGAGTCGTGTTTATACAATTTGAAAGAGTTTCATTCACAGTATAGTGCGAACATCGTATATACTAAGTTCTCTTAAGTAATTTGTTATGATGATAATTCGTCGCATTACTGTATCTATATGTTATCAATAATTCAGTATGAGATAGTAGAACATTTTCATTCAAAAAGCGTGATCTTAAATAGAATTTAATTTTTCTTTTGGTGTGTTGTGGATATCTACAGTTTGAGATTATGGTTAGTAGAACGGGTGATCTTGGGGACAAAGTACTATGAGAGTTTTAGTAGAGTGTATTTCAAATTTTCTAATCCATGCCTATGACTTTGATTATTTCATGCAATTGCTTTACAAAGATTGGTAGGTTTAGCTGAGCGTATATCATCCACACAGATCAGGAATACCAACCGAATAATCAGCCAATGTTAATCCTATATTTTTAAGCGTGTGAAGTTGTCTGTGTGTTAGTTACAATATGAGTGTTACGATGAACCGCATTCATTTGGACAAATGTAGGAAAAGTATGAATGCGAATGTCTTCACAATGCAAGAGATGTATTTAACCGTTTCGAATATATCTGATGTATTTCTGAAGATATATTCCATGGAATTTAAGACCTTATTAAGACTTTTTAAGACTCATACCTATTGTTTTTTGATGAATACACACTCCTGTATAATGTGTAGGTCTACTTGCAGCGTCACTGACCAAGATAAACAAAATTCGCCCCGATATGATTTTATACAGCTTCTCGGATAAATTGCGCGCCAATTTTTCTTCTTCCTTTTACACGACCCCCTAAGTAAACGGCCGCGTCGATCAGCAAAGGTCAAGGTTTAATGCTGTTGACATATGATTTTCGACCAAGCCGCGTAGAGATCCGCAAGTGAGTGAATCGCGACGTCTTTATAATTTATAACAGACATGTGTACATCACGCGAAGATGTCTCTTGGACAAATTTAAGACATTTTAAGACCTGTAAAAGATGTTCCTTGGACATCTTCGCGTGAATTTTGACTTTTAAAGGATGCGCGGGAACCCTGTATTCGAATCGGCTAAATACATCTATGGTATTGTGAAAATATTCCTTCTTAGTCATACCTTTTCTGCATAAGAGTTACGTTCGTCTGTTTTAATTCTAATAACACTGCTTTGTCCCATCCTTCCTTTTGTTCCAGTCTATTAGTTTGTTCCGTTTTAGTTCCAATACGAGTGTTAAGTATTTCGTTCGTTCAATTATCAGCATTAATTCCGTCATTGTGTTAGTAATGCCAGGCCAACAGATCACGTGACATCTCACAGCTGAATCTCAATAGGTTTTCAAAGTGTGTAAATTGTACTTTTTTATGGAGTCACATTTTACTCAAGCCATAAATCTCGGTATAGTGTTGTTGATAAAAGATGTATTATGGTTACAATTTTGATTTATTGCTTCTGTTTATTTACATTTCATTTTACATCAAGTACTCGGAAATACAGTAAAAAGAGTAACAGTAGTAGTAAAAGCAATAATAATAATAAAAGAAAATAATAATAATAATGATTAGAGAATGATTGTAATGGTTACAATAATAACAGTAATAATAACACAATAGTAATAGCAATGATAATAATTACTATAATAACAATAATAATAAATATAAGGATCATCATAATAATGATGAATATTACGATGCTGATGCTGATGAAATAATATTAACGTAAATGATGACTATAATAATAATAACAATAATAATTAAATTATAATAATAATAACAATATGAAAATAACAATGATCATCAAAATAGTAACGATAAGAACAACAATAATAATGGCGATGATGATGATTATAAAATCAATAACGATGGTGGTAATGATAATAATAATAATGATATTAGTATGATAATACTATCTTTGCTAATATAAATACTAATAACAATGATAATGATAATTCTTATCATAATAATAACAAAAATAATTCTAATAACAATAAAAATATCTTTACGATTTTTAATAACTATATTATTATTAATATTTTATTATCATTAATTATAACAATAACGACAATATTAACAACAATAATCATGGTAATGATAATAATGATTATATAAAAGAACAAGAACAACAACAGCAATAATAATAATAATAATAATAATAATAATATAATAACAACAATAATAATAATAATATCATTATCACTATTTTTATTACTATGATTATCATTTTCATCACCATCATTATCATAATTAACAATATAAATATATTTCACGCAGCAATTTTCTTCTTTTCAAACACATTTTTTGGATTCACATAAATCTTCCTGACACACACATAAATCATAACACACTAACACTCAGGATAAGGGATAAAAAAAATACACACACGAACACAGAGGGAAAAACATCTTGATTTTAGCAAACAATTTCAGCAATAAAAGTCAAGAGAAGAAATACAGTTATAGATTCATACACCGCATTACACTCTAACCTTGGAAACGATCACAAATTAAAGTATACACTGACTTTTTTGACTGGCACGATTCCTAATAGAAAAGATTTATTATCTTGATTTTAACAAACAATTTCAGCAATAAAAGTCAAGAGAAGAAATACAGTTATAGATTCAGGGAAAGTTTGGAGGCAGCTGCTTCTGGCAAAAGGAATCTGATATAATTATGAATCATGGAAAACGATGATATATGAAAAAACAGAGAATATATGTGTATGTATAATATGTATGTATGCGTATATATATATATATATATATATATATATATATATATATATATATATATATATATATATATATACATGTGTGTGTGTGTGTGTGTGTGTGTGTGTGTGTGTGTGTGTGTGTGTGTGTGTGTGTGTGTGTGTGTGTGTGTGTGTGTGTGTGTATGTATATAAATACACACACACACACACACACACACACACATATATATATATATATATATATATATATATATATATATATATATATATATATATATATATATACATACATATGTCAGATGGATATAACTGAATGTAGATTAGATATATATCATAAACCGCATAAAAAATTACCATCATTATCATTAGCATTTTCTCATTATTATCAAATTTGTTTCAATCTATCTTGACAAAATTTCTCTCTATAATACTTACGTGAAATTTTGAGTCTATGGCCTTTGAAGAAAGGTGTGAACGCCGCTCTCCTCCTCCTTCGTGGTCCTGTGGAAATGTTGGAATTTAATCATTCGGGATGTCATTCTATCTGTGCGTATGTATGCACGTAGATAGGTGGATAGAAATAGACCGATATGTAGGTAGAGAGATAAGTAAGTATATATATATATATATATATATATATATATATATATATATATATATATATATATATATATATCAAATATAGATATAGATATTGATGTATAAATAGAGTGAAATAGATTAATTGATATATATGTAGACTGACTGATTAGTTAACTGAGAGAGATAACAGATATGTGTGCGTGTGTGTGTGCACGCATGCACACACACACACACACACACAACACACACACACACACACACACACACACACACACACACACACACACACACACACACACACACACACACACACAGATATTTATGTGAATGTGTATATATATATATATACACATTCATACATGTTTGAATGCATGAATATGAATGAACTATTGTTTACTGAATTCTATTCTCTCTATGAAGAAAATTACAATCAAGATAAAATAGCAGTCTCCCCAGTGAAAGGGAACAATATAATACCTCTAATCATTTCAGGACTTTCTTGTCCCGACGCAGCAGCAGCGCCCTCCGAAGAAGTAAAATCAAATACCACCTGCATCCACGATGAAGCAGAAGCAGTCAAAAAATGAATCCACGAAGAATCGCCGTCCAGCGTGACTATTCTTTCCCTGCATTGGTCGTCGCAGTAATCGGGGCTACAGTCTACGGTACACACGCCCCATTTCACTTCCCGGTCCTCCTTCGCTGCGCAGATGGGCACGGCACCATCTCCAGGCACGAGGCATCGGGTGGCACAGCTTTTAAGGGACCCTTCGAAAATCGCCTGGCACTCGGCGCGTGTGGTGTGCGGTGCCAGCGTCATTATGATCAATACAGTCCTTACTATATTTACTTCCCACATGTTACACTAATGAGGATGGGGTGGGTTTGCAGTGGGGTTTCTGAAGTCCGGGTAGCGGGGTCAAGAGAGCAGACGAGACCTGGTATCTGGAGGAAAATTAGTAAAATGAGTCAAGAGCAGTCGCGGTAGGTATAGATAGACAGACAGGTAGATATTGTCTGTGTACATATACGCATATACACACGCATGCACAAATACATATATATATATATATTATATATATATTATATATATATATATATATATATATATATATATATATATATATATATATATACTGTAGTTAAAAAGGTTAAGACCTAATGTAAATCATACTATTTTTTATTCAGGTATAAGAAGAAAGGCATTATTTTCTGAATCTTAATATGAAAAATAAGGAATTGAAATAATAATAGTACATTACAATAACTAGATATGACTAACCTAAAGAATTATTATAATAAACGATTAGCTATCATTGCCGTTACCTAGAGAATTTCATACATATCCATTGAATAATTAACATCATCTAGTTCAGCCGTAAGTAGACCTAGAGTAGGTCATGATAAGATTTTCTGAATGCTTCAAGCTCTCAGCTCGATGAATCAACTTATAATAATGATAATAATAAATCAGAATTTACTACTACTACTATTACTACCAATATTTCTACTACTACTGCGTAATAATCACGGTGATAATAATAATGATAATTAATAACATCATAATAATAATGCCAAAACTATTAGTAAATATCAAGTGAAAATGTGATTTCCTGTTTGGCCGACGAAGAGTTATCAAGGGGCCTTTGATGCTGTTTTTGTGGCAGGTGCAATGATCCGTCTACGCAACATAATTCACTTAAACCTAACCTAACCTAAATTAAGGTTAGGAAACCAGACCTAAATCTAATTTACCAAATATTACACAGCTTAGGCTAAGCTAACCTTACTTAATCGAGCTCTAACTTACTTATACAATACTACTATTCGAAAAAAAAAAAACTAGTCAACTGTGGCCATTCCCATTACGTCACTGGAGTGGGCAGAGCTTAGCGGCTTGTTTCGTCTCCGAACCCAAGACAGATGTTGGGTGTCGTCTGACGTTTTATTAAACTATAAGAAAACGGGCTGTCATTAAAGCTAATCGTGGTAAAGCTAAACACCTGAAATTTACACCTGTGACCACCAGGGACCACCACTGTAGGGAACTTCCGTGGACATTGCAACGTTATCTATTCTTAAAATAATATGATATATACCTTCTTTTGATTTATACCTTCATATTAATGCTGCCAGTTATATAAAGAAAGGTTTTTCAGTTTTATTTATATTTAAAAAGCCTCCAATACTCCCAATCATTTCAATGCTTGTTCCCGTCTTTAAAGGTACGATCATACTACCCATAAATTCGTTTCTTAATGGATTTTGCCTACGATGGACTCAATCCACTGGACTTTGGCTCACACATTCGATGCGATGGATACCCACTCGTTCATTTGTGGAAGAATGGAAAAATTGCTTGGTATGCATATATTTTCATTTCAAAGCATTAATATTATTATATATTTTAAATTATTTATAATCATTCATAAACAGTTTTACATTAATATTTACATTTAAATTTATGCTTAAATACGAATAAAAGGTAAAACCAAAAGCATTGACCATGGATTCTCATTTGACTTATGAATATAAACAAATACGTATCATCCAACTCCAAGTTAGAACGGCAGATCCCGCGAATATTCGAAATGTGGAATTCTGAAACAAATTACTCCGTCCTAGAAAAGGTTAAAACTCCGAAAACATGAAAGAATAGCAAGAGTTAGGGAGAAGACTGCGGGATTCATAGCAAGTTCCTGCGATTCCACTGGACAAACCCAATGGTTCTTTTCCCAGTGTGAACACCACGGATGGGTGGGTTGGTTCAAACCCACAGAAAATCTCTGGATTCCAGTGAAATTTATGGATGGTCTGTCGTTTACCTCCCATACCTCTGTCTGTGTCTTAAGGTACTTAAGACACTGACAGAGGTATGGGAGGTAAACGACAGTCACACTCGAACGGCCCAGGCTATAGGTACTCTCTCTCCCAATCCACGGGGTATTCTAGCAGTAAGTTAGATATCTATTGCGGAAGACTGCTTGCTTAGGGTAGTCCTTGCTGCAGGCATATAGAGAGGCTGTAGTCGAGCTGTATCTTTACCCTTAATTATATCTGTGTTTTACGGTAGCGGACGGAGGACTAAAGGTAGATCTTTAGCAGTATATGCAGGGTGTGTTATATTTTCGTCACTTGTGTGTTAAAGTCCATACTACCTTATTAAAGTTTAGTTATATGTGTTGTCTTTTTTTTTTTTTGCATGTTGCTTTAACAAGTTGTGTCCAGGCTCATTTTCATTTTCCTCACAGGGAGTGTTAGTTTTTAAACTTTTATTATAATAAATTGTGAAACCCCGTTGTGCATGAGTAACATAACGTTAGGGAAACAAAAGAGTACCATGGTATGTATGTACAATGATGAGTGTCAAATATACACTAATACATAGTGATTAAAATTTCATGAACAGTATTCATCCTAAACCCACCATGCTTTCGGGGAGTGCTCACCGCTCGGGACTTCAGAGTAACGTGAATCATGCAAGTAAATGATATGAATGTCATGTCTGACGCTATGAATAAGCTTTGCTGACCACTACAACCTAACCTAACAACGTCCCGAATAAACTGATCCGTGACCCGTCAGCTTAATTTGAGTAATTCCCAAGGAAACCAAGCAGAATTTTCATGATCTCCCCCCACACACACCACCCTTACCCAAAAAAAAATGGCGTGAATATCTGGAATAAAATCTCGCGAGCTTTGGGATACCACAGCTGGCGAGAGATGATCATACCCCTGAGTGCAGTCGACGATGACATGGTGGGAAAGGAAAGCAGACGGTAATTGAAATAATATCATTTTGTGATGAATAGGGAAATGACGTATGGAAGAGGGATTAAATCTATTCCAAATATATTATCAGCATACCATGATAAATCAGTAAAGAAAGGCGTATATCAACGCAGTTCTAATAATATATATGTATGTTTTTTTCTTCACATAGCCGATCACATCGATTTGGGTATCGATAGATTCCACTCACTCTCTAGCCAAATATATTGAGATCATGTCGCGGACCCCCAACACCACCCATCCCATACCGACAATCTTGGCCCCAATAGTAGAGGAGGGCTTGAATGGCACCAGGGAAATTACGGCGTAAATGACAAATATGCAGAACATTGATCAATACATAATGAAATGCAAGAGAGACAAGCCGGTCATACGGCTGCCGTGAATACGTTGAGGATATTTTGTCTTTCATCGCGGGGGCCGGAGGGTCGCATTAGACTATATGGTGACTGATCCGGTGAATATTATTCATATTTTACTCCGCAATTTCCATGGTACGTTTCGTACACTCCTCTGCTATTGGGGCCATGATTGTAACTAATGGGGGGGGGGCAAAATTTCTATCTATTTGGCTGCAGTTGAGAGTGAGAGGAATCCATAGATACCAAAATCGTCCTGATCGGTTATGCGAAGGTATTCCGAAAAAAATACCTTTATTGCAATAATGATATAGGTATTCTCTCTCTCTCTCTCTCTCTCTCTCTCTCTCTCTCTCTCTCTCTCTCTCTCTCTCTCTCTCTTCTCTCTCTCTCTCTCTCCCCTCCCTCCCTCCCTCCCTCCCTCCCTTTCTCTTCTATCTCTCCCTCCCTACCATTCCTTCCCTATCATTGTTTGTACACTTGAAAATAGAACGGCAAAGCGCTGATATATCCGTGTAGTAAATAGAAAAAAAAAAATATCAAAAACCGCAACGTCACTCCAATCCGCCATAATATCACTCCATCTAAATAACACCAATTACTGAAGGAACAGCCATTATTTCTACGTTTCCACCCCAATGTATTCTTTTAACCCCAATAACATTTTTCTCTTTCCACTACGGCTTTCCATGTTTACGCAACTACTGATTACACGTCATTAGCGGGAAATCTAACGACTTGCAACGAGGTAATTTAAAGTGCTATTGGAGATTTGGTAGATAAATAGAGCGTGGTGGTGGTGTGGTGGGGGGGGGGGTCGGTCGTTTGCGTGGAAAGGAATAATCAACTTTTTTTTTTTTACTTTTTTTTAAGGAGATTTGCGTCTTGTGTCAAGGTAATCTTACTCATACTAATGGCGGTAAGTGATAATTTTTATTGTAGAATAACAAAACCAAACTGAGTAATGTCTGGAATTATTAATTGATTAATGATCGTTGATGTTTTTTTTATTTTTTTTTTTACGTTTTATTTTTTCAGGGAGTTTTGTCAGTTTATTATTATTACAATCATTACTGTTATTGCTATCATTATTGTTATCAACACCTTATTAGTATTATTTTAAATACTATCATCATGATTATTTTGATGACAAAACACGAACATTTCAGTAAAAAATATATACCTTCACAAATGGTTTTGATTCCTTTGTTTGTCTGTGTTTCTCAACAATGTTTTCAAAATTATCACATGATTTGTCTTGTTATTTTTAACTGTTACATGGTCTATAACCCCTGTTCTTGGTGTGAATTGCGGGTAAATTTAATACACTACAAATTTCCGTACAGGTGAATCATCTCAACAACCTTGTTTCTCAATTGCTCATAACATCGCAATTGCGTGTTCATGATCTCAGAGGGACGACTTAACGAACCGTCACGGTCAAAACGCCTTTCACCTTGGTTAAAACATGTTTCAAGTTTCGTTTCGAACAACTCAACATTGTGGTCTTTTCTGTTTAACTGAAGAGAGTTTCGAAGTTTCAGTTATGATTACACAATGACTCATAAAAGACTGTCTTCGTGGCTATACAAAATAAACACGCATTTTTTGGTCAATTGATTTCATCAAGAATTTCGATTTTGAAAAGCAACTCGAGTATATAAGTAGTTTCTACTCATGATAATTATGGTACCCTTACGTTAATAATAATAATAATAATAATAAACAATGAACGATAACTACATAATAATTTAAATAATAATAATAACGTTTTATAGACGCACTATTTTAAAAAAAAAAAAAAAAAATCTAATGTGCTGTGTTAAATAAGGTATGTATGTATATATAAGGGTAAGAATAGCATTAAAACTCGTCCATTAACACTTACCATTCACAAAGACCACTATCACTACTACGGTTTCTCTATACTTATTAAAATGACTTCAGATCTACAACGCAGTCCTTCATTATGATCCATTTTACAACTAATTAAACACTGTATCCAGTCCATATAGAGAAATCGCTTTCCATTCTGCTGATTACAATTCACTACACAGATAGCTTACAAGTTACTTTGACGACGTCCGAAGAGAGACTGAAATCCGGGGTCCTGAAGAGCGGCTGTAGCGTGACGTCATCGAGATGCGCGCTGCTGATTGGTTGAGACGAATCCTTCGACTCCTTAGTTACATGACTTTTTTCCGTTTTTTTTCTTTTCTTTTCTTCTTTCTTTCTTTCTTTGAGGATCGTAAGTGGTTCATTGTAGAATGAAAGTAAAGGCGTCTGAATCCATATTTTTGTGATATGATCCAGGGAGAGAAGAAAAGGTGTATTTTATCTAATTTCTTTTTTTTTTTTTTTTTTTTTTTTTTTTTGAGAGAGAGAGAGAGGGAGGGGGGCTTCCTCTCCAATGAGATATATTGTACATATGCATTTTGTTAGAGCTTTATAGCCTTGAATTCAAAATAAGTTGTACAGGTTCCCAGTGTCCTGGTCAAATTATTAATTATTTTTATTTTCCATTTATGAATTTAAACTTTTTAGTCATTGTTTTTAAGTTCCTATGAATGTTATAGTGTGTCGTTGTTAGGAATAGCGATAAAAATGATAATATACTAAAATAAACAAATGAGGGAACAAAGAACAGTGTAAATAAAGACGGATAATTATCTAACAAAAGATAGAATTTTGGAATATGAATTATACAGAAAACCGTTTAAGTTAAAAGGTTATTTGAAAAGGAAAATTATTATGAAACAAAATGAAGAAACAGAAAGAATAGGAACAAAACAATAAAAAGAGGGGGAAGAGAAGAGCTAACAAAAGAGGACAGTTAAATCAGAAAGTAAATAATAATAACGAAAAAGAAAAAAGAAATAAACGGATAGTGTCCAAGAAAAGAGATAACGAAGGACGTAGAACAATGCAGAGAACAGATTACAGAATAAGTGGTCAATACGAGATACCGAACCCCCCCTCCCCTTCCCCTCCCCTCACCCCCCCACACTCTCCCTCTCCTCCCTTCACCCCCTTCCTTTCCTCATCCCCTTCCCTCCGCCACTCTTACCCTTCACCCTTCCCCCTCTTCCACCCTCCCATCACCCCTCCCAACCTC